CCATATAAATTACAACATATAAATACTAAGCACGTAATTTACAGTCCAAACCCAAATATCCATATCCTTGCAGAAAAGTGTTTTAAGTTTCAGCAATTTAAAATCCAAAACCATGTAAATTACAACATATAAATACATGTTAGTAATTTACAATCCGAAATCGTTCCAAACAATTGCAGAAGAATATTTATTATTTCAGCAATTTAAATCCAAAAGTTAAACCATGTATTATTTAACGGTTCATCAACAAGCATCCAAAGCATGAATAATTTTTTTTTAATAAATCAACTATTCTATCATGCATTCAAATAAGATTTAAAATCATAATATTATCCAAGAATTTGTTAAAAATTAATTCTAGCAATTCAGTTCCTTTTATTCGTCAATAGCAAGCTAGGTTGCATACTTGTATATTGTTTTGTTGTTTAAGCACCCAGCCACAAACTATGCTACGAGTCCAATTTATTAATTAAAAGACTCCCTCACGCATCTAAAATTTAATTTAGAATATATATAACACCTTAAATTGTCAAATTAAAATTAAACAATTTATTTCCTTCCAGCCATTAACCGTACGCAAAATTGTTAATTAGCGCACTGTTAATTCCATTATTACAACGAGGGTAGTTTATGCAATTTAAGATCTTAATTACATGTTAAATTAATTATTTAAACGCCCATTAAAGCTCTAGAATTTTTCAAGAACCCCAAGTGCCTAAACAGTAGCAAAAAGTTCGTAAAAACATTAACTGAATGTGCAAAATGAAGGGAGCCTGCTCTAATCCTAAAAAAGCAGGCTCTTTTAGAGGTAGAGCAGCCTCTTTTAAAGGTAGAGCCTGCTCTACTTCCTCTAGAGCAGGCTCTACTCATGGGGGGGGGGGGGGGGGGGGCGGCTCCTCCCTCCATGGAGCCGTCTCTCTTCCCCTATGAGCCTCAGTTCAGTTACTTCTCCGTTTCCGACCGTTCTGCTTCTTCTCCGGCCTTTTTCCACCATTCAATTGATTTCAAAAACTGATCCTAAAGGTCTTATTAATACCAAAGAGCATCCCAATAATTTGAAAACAATAATTAAAATCAACTAGAGAAATTAAATTCGCTACCGAATTAACATGTGTTAAGAACAAAACTAAAACTATTTTTCAACAACAATTCTAATGAACTTAGGAGCCTTATCAAATTTAATTAATTCAAGGTCTTAATAACACCCAAAATCAACCTTCTAATCCTTCTGTGAAACCCCAGAATCAACAGAAACATTCCCATGCTCCAAAGTAACAAACAGTTCGTAGAAAAGTTTACAGAATATTCACTATTGAAGAGAGCCTGCTCTAAGTTTTAAAGAGAAGGCTCTTTTGAGCCTGGAGCCGGCTCTATAGGTCTTAGAGCCGGCTCTCAAAGGAGGTGGGAGCCGGCTCAGTTCGTAGAAAAGTTTACAGAATATTCACTATTGAAGAGAGCCTGCTCTAAGTTTTAAAGAGAAGGCTCTTTTGAGCCTGGAGCCGGCTCTATAGGTCTTAGAGTCAGCTCTTTAAGTGTGGGAGCCGGCTCCCACATCCATGGAGCCGGCTCTCACCTCCTTTGAGAGCCTCCGTCCCCGTTCTGCTCCGTTTCAGCCTATCTGCTCCACCTCCGGTCATTCCAGTTCCTCTGTTTCTCTTAAATACTGAACTTACTAGTCTTATAAATACCTAGTATCATTCCAATGGCCTATCTACAGTAGTTGGAAACAATTACAGAGGCTAAAATAGCAACTAACTTAATATACTTTAAGAACAGAATGCTGAAACGAAAGCATGCATAAATTTTGTTTTACAGAATTGATATCAACACCTACAGATCATTGATATAACATGTACTAAACATATACTTTCCAATTAACGTTCAATTAAACCCTAGAGACTATCTAGGTGCACAGAACACAAGCCAAAGGGAAGGAGAAAGAGAAGAACTTGCCTGCAGTTTTGGTCTCAAAACTTTGTCGCCGTCTTCCTAATTTCCGGTAAACATTGACCACCTTCAAGCCTCCCATGGTTTTGTTTTAAATCACCATAACTCTCCCTTGGTCCTCTTTGATTTCCTCCTTGACAATCCTTACAATGCTCTGTTCCTCTACCCTCTGTTTTTACAGAACAACTATACGTGTATGCTATGTGATATATCGTAAACCCTAAGCTTAAAGCATAATGGTATATTTATAGGCTTAATACCAAAACCCTAATCCTTGTCATAATAGAGACAGAGCCCTAAACTTAATCTTAGTCGGCCCATAATAAAGCCTATGATTAAATTCTATGTCGGCTACACCAGATGACGTCCCAAAACTTGTAAGTAAAAATAACTTAATATATTTAAAAACTCACGTAGTTTAATTCACATAAGAATTCCAATAAGTCAATAAATACAAACAAACAATTTCAATTAAATCACTATAATGCAATTAATTCAATTAATGAAAATAATTCAAATAATAAACACAAATAAATAATTTGACACACAAACACTTAGCCACAAAATAAATAAATAAAATAAAATAAAAATGCACATAAAATAACATTTAAATTCCAATTTTTATCCCTTTTAAATTAGGGGTATTATAGTAAGCTTCTATGTGCCATATACTATGCAAGTAAAACTTTCTTAGGAGCTTAATTTAATTACTCCATAGTTGAGAAGGAGTTACTTGCCGTAGTGTATGCCCTTGATAAATTTTGGTCATATCTTTTTAGATCAAAGGTTATTGTGCTTTTCGATCATACTATTCTAAGGCATCTCTTGTTGAAAAAGGAAACCAAACCGTGCTTAATAAGATGGATTTTATTCCTCCAAGAATTTGACTTTGAAATCAAGGACAAAAAAGGCTCCGACAATGTCGTTGCCGACCACCTCTCAAGGTTGATGACTGAATCTTCCCCAAATCTTCCTATTCATGATTCTTTTTTGGATGAACAACTCTTTCACATTTCCAATGGAAAATTGCCTTGGTTTGCCGACATTGTGAATTACCTTGCAATTGGCAAACTTCCCACCGATTGTTCAAAACAAGAAAAGGACCGATTCTTTGCTAACATTCGAAAGTACTATTGGGAGGATCCAATCTTGTTTCGTTATTACCCGAATCAAATCATAAGAAGATGTGTGCCAGAAAGTGAGATTCTGAACGTTCTTGTGTTTTGTGATAAGTGCTCAAATGTTGCACATTTTAGCACTTAAGCTATAGTATTTAAGTCCATTCATCTATCTTACTTTCTCGTTTTAGTTCTAATCATTATTTTTGTTTATTTCATGTCAATAAGGTTCAAATGGGCTAAAAATAGCCTATTAAGCCCTCTTTGGAGTCAAGAAGAAAATTCGAAAAAAGTCTAAAAATTTTCCCTGGAGCAACTTTGATCGATCGAAGATTCATCCATAATCGATTGAAGGTTGGTGATCCTTCGAAGCCACGTCAACAAAGGGATAAGACTGCCACTTCATCGTTTGACCAAGTTCCCAATCAATCGAAGATTTTAGTGATTGATTGCAGTGCCACGTCAATGCCATCTAAATAGATAAGGTTGCCAGTTGTCAAGATAAGCGTGCCACGTCATTCACGATTAATCAAAGATAATCTCGATCCATCGAAGACCCTTTCAATCGATTGAAAGCCTGCTGGCAGTGAGCTATCTAATTCCTGAGCGAGCCCAAATTCCACCTAACTTTTATAGGGTTCCACTTTTTATTCCAATTTTAGCTACACTTTTACATAGTTTTAGACATAGTTTCTCTCTCTAGATTAGGGTTTTTGGAGCAAAAGAAGAGGCAAGATAGGAGCAAGAAAATGAACTCAACTATGAAGATAGCCTTTGAGAGTTGCAAGACAACATCCATGAGTGGCTAGATCCTCCTCTTGGGGCTTGGAAAAGTCCCTAGGCTTGCCTTTTAAACTCTAGTTCTTTGACCTATTTGGGGATTTTTGTTGTAAATAATGAATTAACCTTGTGATTTAATAAATCTTATGATTTAAATGATTCAATTCTTCCAATTAACCTTCTAATTTTATTTACATGTCTATGTGTGATAAAATGGATGGTTATGTCTCTACATTATATTCTCTAAATTTGATGCATGTCTTTGTGTGTTGGAGTTATGAATCCAATGATGGTCACACATAGTGCTTATTGGTAACATTTGTGATTGATTTAATATGTTATACTTATGCTTGATGGATTATTCTACAACCTTAGTTAATTAGTTTAATTTGGTTGTCATTAGTGTAATTATAATGTAATTGCATTTAAATTCGTAGATAGGTAGACAATCCATACTTATACTTGATGATTCATGCTTGTTGTCATATAATGTACATTTCTCTAGATTGTTGTGTGTTACAATTGTGGGTTTATTGAATGGTTAATGTCTTCACTTGATGGGTTGTGCTACACATTAGTCTAAGTAGACAATTTACACTTGTTTAGTCATCCATGCCCATTGTTTTAATTGTTAGTACACACTTGGTTTACAACATTTAATTCCCCTAAATTTGTCAAAGACTAGTGGTTTAAAAGAAGAGCTTAGCAGAAATTCCAATGCCCTAAGACTTCTCTCTTTTTCTCTCACCTTAATCAATTTTAGCTTGTTTACATTGCATGTTTTCAATCCAATTGTAGTTTAATTAAACCAACCAACCCTCTCTTTGATCATTCGACCTACTAATCTGAATTTGATTCCAAAATATGCTTACGGTCTCTTGGAACGATCCCTACTCTCCATGCTACATTATTATTATTATTATTAGTAGTAGTAGTAGTGGTTTTATAAATTTAAATTTGACTAAAGGCTTCTTGAACCACACTCTCTTAGTTTGACATAGCAAGTAACACATGTCGTTTTGTCGTACACTTGCATGTGGTGGGCATTTTAGTGCAAAGAAGACTGCCTTGAAGGTTCTTTAAAGTGGCCTCTTTTGGCCCACTATCCATCGAGATGCCTACAAATTTTGCAAGGTGTGTGTCCGGTGCCAAAAAATGGGATCAATGTCAAAAAGAGACGTGATGCCCTTAAATCCGGTCTTTGTTGTGGAAATCTTTGATGTTTGGGGCATTGACTTCATGGAACCATTCCCAATGTCTTATGGCTTCCAATATATCCTCTTTGCCATCGATTATGTTTCCAAGTGGGTTAAGGCTTGTGCTACCAAAATGAATGAGCATTCTGCAGTAATTGCAGTTGTCAAATCAAACATCTTTACTTGTTTTGGTATACCAAGGGCAATCATTAGTGATAGAGGTAAACATTTTTGCAATCACTTCTTGAGGTAACTTTTCTTGAAGTATTCCGTCACTCATAAAGTTGCCACTCCCTACCATCCTCAAACAAGTGGGCAAGTTGAGGTTTTAAATTAGGAAATTAAGTAAATTCTAGAAAAAATGGTGAACCTGAACCGAAAGGATTGGTCAAGGAAGTTAAATGATGCTTTGGGCTTATCGAACGGCTTACAAGACTTCAATGGGCATGTCTTGTTATAGACTTGTTTATGGAAAGCCTTGTCATTTTCCGGTTGAGCTAGAACATAAGGCTTTGTGGGTAATCAAAAAGCTTAACCTTGATCTTGATAAGGCCGGTGAGAACCACTTACTCTAATTGAATAAGTTAGAGGAATTGAGAAATGATGCCTATGATAATGCTAAAATCTATAAGGCAAGGATAAAAGCTTTTCATGATAAATACATTGTAAAGAAGTACTTTAAGCCTGGGCAAAAGGCATGGCTCTTCAACTCTAGACTCAAATTCTTTCCCGGGAGTTACGCACTAAATGGGAGGGCCCTTATGAGATTATTTTCATTTCTCCTCATGGGCGGTTGAAATCGAGTGCTTGAAAGATGAGAGAATCCTTAAGGTGAATGGTCAAATATTGAAGCCCTATATTGAAGGGCAAGCTATTTAAAGAGATGTGGAAGCTGCCCTCTTAGTAGATACCATCTATCTTAAAGATTGAGAGCATTTCAATGTCGACTAGAGACATTAAACCTAGTTTCGTAGAGTTTTTAAACTCTAATCCCCCCCCCCCCCATTTCTTTTTATTTTTCATTCTTGCGTCGCCTAGATTGGTTCCATTGTGCATCATTAAAAAATTTCAGGTATTTAGTGCCTTTAAAAATTTCTGCCTTAGAAAGGATTCCAAAAATTTCAGCATTTAGTGTCTAGGCAGTAGCAATGCAATCGATTATAGAAACCTGCGATCGATCGTGATTTGCAGAGACCCATTTTGCCTGAAAAACAGCTCTCGGTACTTATCATTCGTGGGACTTTGCGATTGATCGCTAACCTTTGCGATTGATCACACTAGAACCATTCATCTTTTCTATCGTTCATAGGACTTCACAATTGATCGCAACTTGGAGCGATCGATCATCCTGGAAGCATCCTCTCCTCCATCGTTCGTAAAGTCTTACGATCGATCGCAGAATATTGCGATCGATCATCCTAAGCGTAAAAAATTCCAAGTTCCAGGGGATCGTTCGTAAACCTGAACGAACAATCGTGTATAATTGTGATCGATTGTGGGTTTTTCTTCAAAAAAATAAATAAATAAATAAATTCATTTCATTTTATTTTCTTACATTTTATATTCCTGCATTTCATTTCTTGCAATTTATTCTTTTTGTGTTTTAATTACTTGTGCATACATCCTTTGCCAATATATATATATGTTGACATGATCTCATATCTCTTTTTCATCTTGTTTTATATTGCCTTAGAGTGTATGATTTGCTCTCTTTATCCCATTGTGATATTTGATGTGAGTTTGCTAGTGTGGTTATTTAAATACGTTTTTGATTCCAAGTTTGGGGGAGACATCTTTAATTGGATCATTGCCGGGCTTCATAGGCTTTTGACACCATGGTATACTCTTTCTATCTTTTCTATTGTTCTCATTGCTTATTGAGGACAATGTGCGGTTTAAGTTTGGGGCAAGATGGCTTTGTTGCATTCTACTTAAAGTTTTGAGTTTTAATTGCATGATTGAGATTTGAGATCCATTTTAGCGATGATTTTGATCTTTTGAGGCTTATGTTCCATTGAATTGAAAATTTTCTTGACTTGAAAGTTCAATACTCATTGTATGCCTTTGGATGCCATTTAGGAGCAAATTTTTCAAAAGGTTGATTTCATGCTTGCTTTTGTGGTCCACATCATCTTGTTTGTGAAAATGCTTTGAGATTCGACTCTAGAGTACTACATTTGCACAAGCGCACACTAGCATTCATTTGTGGGGTACATGCTCAGTTGATCATTGCTTTGGTTATATCCCAATTGAGTTAGTAGGCTTTGAAAGCTTTCGTTCTTGACAAGATGACCTTGTGTGCTAATAACAAACCCTTTTACCGAGTAGCCGGAATTCTCGCCTCATTAAGCATTGAATTCTCGCGCTGAAAAGTGAAAGGCCCTCACAATTGTTGAAAAAAAAAATAAAAAAATAAGAAGAAGCAAAAGCAAAGAAAAGTGAGCACTTCTCACCAAACGTGAGGAGTAGGAAAATGACATGATGAGAGTTGTTTTGATTTGTAGCCTAGTCGATTTGAGCTTGTAAGTCCTTAGAGGTGTCTTTACACCTAATGCCCTAAAGCCGTTCGGTTTGGGAGTCATTAACCTAACGCTCTTTCATGGATCTTCTAGAGAGCTTAAGAGATCACTACATTGCACCATACTATTATCTTTGATCCCATTTAAAAAAAAAAAAAAAAAAAAAATTGTTGGAAATAAATTGAATGAAAAGGTTCATTCTTTCTCATGATTATTGATACTTGATTTATATGCTAGTTTGAGACCGATTGTGCCTATTTCATTGATTTGCTAAGATAATAATATATTTGATGACTGGTTCACTCAAAAGGATGCTAGAGTTTTTTTTGATTTGCATGATTATCTTGCTTGATGTGTGGAGGACCATATTTGCTTGAAGGTTTGAAAAGCTACCTGGCCAACCTTCCAATGATGATGCCTCCAATCAAGAAATGGCCTTTAAGATTATACTTATCGGTACTGATGAATCCATTGGAACTCTTCTAGCTCAAAACAATGAATGGGGAAAGGAGTAAGCCATCTATTTTCTAAGAAGGGTGCTCACTCCAGTGGAATGTAGGAACACTTCTATTGAAAAGTTGTGTCTTTCCTTATATTATGCAGCTATGAAGTTGAGAAACTACATGTTGCCAGTAGCTGTATATATTATTTCTTAAACAGATTTGATTAAGTATATGCTCTCGAGGCCTTTGATTACTGGGCGGATTGGAAAGTGGTCATTGGCCTTGATGGAGTTTTCTTTCAAATATATTCCACAAAAGGCGGTTAAAGGAAGGGCAGTGGCAGAATTTCTAGCTGATCATCCTTCCAGCAAGATTAATTCCGAAGTATGTGATGAGGTGGATAATCTCTACCTTGACTATACACCTTAGACTCTCATGTTTGATGGGTCAAGCACCCATGATGGAGGAGGAGCTGGAATAGTCATCATTTCACCAAAAGGAAGAAAAACCACATTTTCTTTCTTCTTGGATTTCAAGTGTACAAACAACCAAGTTGAGTATGAGGCACTAATCATTGGGTTGGAAATCCTGCTAGAGCTAAAGGTGGAGAATGTCTAGATTATTGGAGATTTTAACTTGATACTTAGCCAACTTTCTGAAGAATATAGATGCTTCAACTGGCATTTGAGGCCTTTCCACTCTTTAGCCTTGGAATTACTTTGCCAGTTTGATGATTTCCAACATAAATATTGGCCAAGGCATTTGAACATGGAGGCTTATGATTTAGCACAACTAGCCTCCTGTGTGAAAGTCCTACCGGGTGTAGAAGAAACTTTAATCACAATCAAAAGAAAGACTCTCCCTTCTGTAGAATTACGGCATAAGATGGCTGGTCATTTCCAAACTGATGGGCTAGAAAGAATCAAACCTGCCAAGAAGACATGGGAGATTTTCAATGTTAATATAGACTGTTTAGACTTAGAAGATTGGAGAACACTAATTATCCATTTCTTGCAAGAGCCTAGTACCAATGTGGATAGGAGATCTCTTCAAAAAGAGTAAAGAAGATGGACTTTTGTTAAGATGCCTTAGTAAAAAAGAGTCCATGAGAGTAATGGCAGAATCACACCTTGGAATATGCGGAGCACACTAAGCTGGAATCAAGATAAGGTGGCTTCTTAGAAGGTACGGTTATTATTGGAAAGGCATATTAAAAGATTGCATAGAGTTTGCAAAAACCTGTATTGCATGTTAAGAACATGGCCCCCTCCAAAGAGTTCTAGCTATAAACATGCAGCCAATAGTGAAAATATGGCCATTCAGAGGGTGGGCTTTGGACTTCATTGGAAAGTTAAGGCCACCATCCACAGATGGCCACACTTATATGGTAGTTACAATATATTATTTCACAAAGTGGGTGGAGGCCATTCCATTAAAGACTTGTGAGTAATCAACAATTATTAATTTCATCAAGAAGCACATTATACATAGATTTGGAATTCTAGAGACTCTCACCAGAGATAGAAGCCTTTCTTTTATTGAAAGTGAGGTTATTGACTATTGTGCTGAATGTGCCATTCAAGTAATCAGTTCTACTCCATATTTTGCCCAAGCAAATGGACAGGCAGAAACTTCCAAAAAGTGATTCTCAACATCCTTGAAAAAATGATTGAGAATCATCCAAGGGAGTGGCATCACCTACTTTCTGAGGCCTTTTGGACTTACAGGAATTCAAAAAGATCAAGTACGGGTGTCACACCATATATGCTTATATGTGGACTTGATGCCGTTCTTCCAATGGAAATGACCATTAGGTCTGCAAGGGTGGCTTTCCAAAATAGGCTAACTCCAATAGATTACAACCATGCCATGTTGGTGGAACTAGAAGACCTTGATGAAGTCTGTCTTAATGCCATAGATCATATCATTGCTCAAAAGAAGAAAGTCATACGGGCATATAACAAGAAGGTTAAGGTAAAGACGTTTGTTGAAGGAGACTTGGTGTGGCAAGTCAAATTTCCACCTAGAATCAAAACTTTGGAATATGGAAAATGGACTCCTAATTAGGATGGTCCCTACTTGGTGGAATGAGTCCTTGGAAAAGGGGCTTATAAATTGATGGATATAGATGGAGGATCACACAAGCACCCTGTGAATGGTGTCTACTTGAAAGAGTATCACCCTTCTATCTATGAAGATTAGAAATCCACAGTCATTCAACCAGCCACATAATGCGGCTGGTATACTCCTTTCCAAGTGAACCAGAAAGTTGGAAAGGAGATTTATTGGCCATGCTATGGCCATTCTGGTAGCTAAGTAAAAATAGAGAAAAGATTCATTTCAAGAAGAGGCTAAGTACTTAGAAAGGTACATTAGCTAGAGTAATGAGGCGGACTTATCTATATTTTCAAGATCAGCTAATTTCCTAAGTATAGGAGACTTCAGTGAGAAAGTGGCTACACTGCATGGTCCAGGTTTTGTTCATACTGGAAATTGTTAATCTTTCCAGTATATATATGCATTTTCATTGTGGAAATTTCTTTTAGTTCTCTGAATTCTTTTGTTCTGGAAAGTCATTTATGGCTAAGCCTTATTGTTAATACATGTGAAGGAGTTTTCCAGTTTCAGTGACTTAAAATCTTCATATATGTATGGTAAAAAGCACATGCAAAGGATTAAGAAATAAAACATAATCCCATTAGATAATTGACTTCATTACAAATCCAAAAATGGCCGCTAAACCTAAAAGCTGGCCATGCAAGTGATTTCAAAAGTTATCTACTTATTCCCATCCATTAAACCATAATTTCATAAAGGCAACCACATGAAAGAACCACCCGAGATCAAATAGAGGCAAGAGCACCTCCAAGTTCTATCCAAATTTTCCTTACTTCTCCAAGAGTAGCCAATGCTCTAACCTTAGCATCCTTAAATTTGGGAAACTCATCAACCTATTTTTCCTATTCCTTCTTTAAAGGTTCAGATGCATTGATAAGGGCACTAGTTGTTTGGTCCAACTCAAATTCTTCACATTCCACCTGTTCCAATTCCCTTTGAATCCTGGCTAGTTCTTCATTCAATCTTTCTTTCTTGGCCATAAACTTTTCAGCTCGTTCTTTGATTTCTGGGTAGGGTTCTAATGAGAGATGGAAATCCTCAAGGGCTTTATCTTTGAGTTTGGCCTCTTTTTCATATTTAGAAATTGTGGAAGTACTGGAGCTCACATGGGTGACAATGAATTGGAGTTGGTGTTGCAGCTTGGTCAAAGAAGCCTGGATGGATTCAGGAAATTCAAGGTGTTTTTTGAGGGTCATTACAGTGCTGGCCAGACTTTGGTGAAAAGATAACACATCTTCTACATTATGGGCAAGGTAAGATAATAATTTTCCTTTGGCCACTGTGATAACATCATCTGAAGGTCCTGGAAGCATGAGGACACTGGTGTTCGAGGTGGAAGTACTGGAAGATTTGGTGGCCTTGATCACTTTATAAAGGTCGGCCAAAGCTGGAAGGGCTCTTCTTTGCACCATGAAGGAGGTTGAGGTAGACATAGAAGGAGTGGCCTAAAATGAGAACAAGTTTGTATTAGATAGAAAGAAAGAAAAGAGGCGAAGCTTAAAAGCATGGAGACTTGCCTCTGGGATGGAAGGAACTTGGCTTGTAGAAGTTCCACCAGTTCTGGAAGGGATAGATATTCCAGTAGTAGAAGTTGGAATAGGCAGACTTTTTTCTTTTTTGCTGGTCAAACTTTCCATGATCGAAGCTTGAAGGGCTAAATCCTCTTCTTGGGCAATTTGTTGGTCCAGATGGATATTCATGAAGTTGTGTCCCATGGAAGAGCCCTGTTAGTCAAGTTGAAAGAGATTTACAAACATTTTTTTAGTGACGAAATTGGAAAGAAGTAGGAATAGAGACTTACCAAAACAACTTCTTTGTTTGGTTTCGATTTTTTGTACTTTGGAGAGTCTCTGCGCTATTGAATTCTTCTATTTTTTCCAGATCAGGCATGATTTTTCTCTTCGCTTTTCCAACAATTTTTCCAGAAGGGCTTCGCATTTTGAGGGCTTTGATAAAGTGTTGAGTAGTGGTTTGACCTTTGTAAATACTAACTTCTTCATCAGAGGAATCTTCATCAGAAGAGGAGAACTGGGGTTGGAATTCCTTCTTGACAATAGCTAGTCCCTGCAAAGGAAGCATAAGTGAGATCCAGAATATGGAAAATTGAGTCCAGTCATATTGAAAGTACCTGAGAAGCTTTTTCTTTTTCCTTTGCTTTATACAAAGCATCTTCTTCTTCCTCTTGTAGTTCTATATTTTCTTCTTTAAGATCTTCCTCTTCTTCATCTTCACTTGAGGAAATACTTTCAACACTTACATCTCCACTTTCGGCCATCCTTTCAATCTTGCTGGGCATTGCCATAGTTTTCTATCCACCTTCATCCTCCTCACTCTCCTCGAGTATTTCTTCTTCTTCATCTAGGAATTATCAGATTAGTTTCTAGTATTTGGAAGGTAGACAAAATTCAAAAGGAAAGATGAAAAGGGGAATTTGTAATAAATATATTTGTACTTGGAGATAAAGGCTTGAAGGAAGGTAAGATGGAGTCACAAATAACCTTGTGATTTTTGGTCCGAGTGGAAGAAATATAAGCTAACCACCATACATCAAATTCATTGGTTGACCGAGGCTTGCTAGTATGGCCTTGGAAGTTGACAGTTGCTCTTTCTGCTGTATAAGCTTTGTCAATTGCTACAAATTGTTTAGCATCTGTGAGCCTGACTCATTGGTCAAAGAACCTGTTATTGGACTTATACGGTGGCAAATGAATCATTTGGCTAAAACCCATTTGCCTAGCCAATTGGGCTGGATTGTAGAACTCAACACCGTTGAAGCTATTCTTCAGAGTAGGATAGGCAGTGCTGTAATAAAGATCACGGGCAAGAAAAAAGCTAGCCCAAATGTTTTTCCAATCTTCAGAATGTTTTTTAGTAGACACTCCAAGAGAAGGAACTAACCATGATGGCATGTGGTTAAGGGAGGTAAATGGGTCAAAGAATTCATTATCTCCAGTCTCACATTGATTATAGAAGTACTCAAAGCTTTCAGCAAAGCTGAAAGGAGAAGGGTCTGCTATTGCCAGGGAATAGCATATGAGGGATTTTCCAGTTTGAATGGCTAGGGGTGAAGTTCTATTTTGAAAATACACTTTAAGCCACATATAGAATAACCAGAATGGACCTTGGAACCTTGAAAATTTTGAAAAAAGTAAGTCGTTCAAGCCTCTGTATAAATAAGAAAGTACAAGAGGAGCCAGGGCCGAATCTTCATTTTTGGCTAAGGAAATAACTACTTGGACAAAGTCTTTTGTGACTTGGCCAGATGGAACACACAACAAATGGCCAGAAAGCCAACAGATCAGGAAAGTAATGTGTTTTCCTTCTTGAACTGGCCCGGTTTTCTTGCAATGTTTGATAAAAGGAAGATGATAGGAGATAAATTTCTTACTTCCAGTGTTTTTGGTAGGAAAGAGAAAATGATCAATATAGAGGGTGGCACTTACATCATCTCCATGGGGTTTAAGACCTGTAATGCAACAAATATCTCTCAAAGTAGGAGACATCATGCCACATTTAAGGTGAAGAGAATTAGTGGTTGAAGACCAAAAGAAGAGAGCTGGAAAAAGAGGTTCGAATCAAGTGTAATGGAAGACTTACTAATTTGAATGATGTCAAATATGTCGTGTTTTTTCCACTGCGAAGAAATCTTTTCATCTTTGGAAAGGTGACTTACCCAAGAGGACCAAGATGAGCAGTATGTTGACCAATTTTTGATGTTAAAAGAAGGTTTCACCTTTTTCCCTTTCTTTGAGATAAGAGGAAATTCTGACTCAAAGGGGAGAAGGGACTTACAGGAAGGATAGAATTCAGCCAATTCAGAGGGGGCTACGTCAGTGAAAGCTGGACCCAGTCTAACTGAAGAGTCTTTGAAATCAACTAGAGGCTCGAGATGAAGTCTGGCAGGGTTTAAAGACTTCAAAAGCATTTGAACTTGGTGGCTAGGACTTCGAGTTTTGACTTAGGTTTGAATGGAAGAGGCTGGTAGGGATGAACTAGTGGTTTGTTTGGAGGGTTTCTTAGGAGCCATGATTCGTGACTGAGATCTTTTTCTTTTACGCTTTCTAGTTGGAGAGGAAGAAAGGAGAAGAGAGAAAAAAGGGGTTTTGGGTAAGTGATAAGGATAGAAGGTATACACATATATATATAAGAGTAATGAGGGAGGTATTAAAGGCTAAGGACGTTTTTCGAGGATTGTTGGTTGGGGTTTTTGAAATTCAAAAGGGGAAGTCTTAAGAGTTTTAGAAGCTGAATGATGTACTGCCATAAATAGATAAGAAGTCTATTTGAAGATGGAACGTGTTTGGCGGTAGGAAAGAGTAGCATAGGGAGAATCAAGAGGCTAGCCGGATAACACGTGGAAGATTTGATTTGATTATGGTAAGTCTCCAGAGTTCAAGGATGCCTTTTTTGGGAAGGAGTAGTTGGAGAATTTTCAAAATTTAGAAAGGAAATAACGAGGATTGGGAAGCCTGACAACACTAAGCTATAAATGGATAGGACTTCTTTGGGGATACGGAATCAGTGATAGAGAAGTTTGTTTGTAGAAGAAGCTGAGGGAACAGCCACGTATTACATAGAAATTTTCCCTTTAATGATTATCTCGAGTTTCTAAGCGCATATTCAGAAGGGGTCTAGTTGGAATTTTGAAATTTAAAAGAAAGAAGCAGTAAGATTTTTTGGGATTTCACAAACAGATAAGTTTTTTATGATATGTTTATGGTTGGCAGGCAAAAGAGGTTGGTATGGATGGAACTTATAAGCCAAATGTATGGAACATTGAAGATTAAGTAGGCCATGATGGCAAAAATTCAAATCCCATGCCTTTTCATCAAATTAGTCCACATGGCATGGAATTTGGGGGGCATATGTTTACACCGTTATTTTGGGTCAGTGGAAAGACAACTTGTGGTGAGTTCCAATGAGCTTGCCACACTAAATTAATATTCTAA